GGCGGCGGCGGTGGCGGCGGGCAGCAGCCTGGTGCCCGCGGCGCGACAGCTGCACTGCACGCAGGTGCGCAGCCGGCGGCTCATGAAGGAGCTGCAGGACATCGCGCGTCTGAGCGACCGTTTCATCTCTGTGGAGCTGGTGGACGAGAGCCTGTTCGACTGGAACGTGAAGCTGCACCAGGTGGACAAGGACTCCGTTCTGTGGCAGGACATGAAGGAGACCAACACCGAGTTCATCCTGCTCAACCTCACCTTCCCCGACAACTTCCCCTTCTCGCCGCCCTTCATGCGGGTGCTCAGCCCGCGCCTGGAGAACGGCTACGTGCTGGACGGCGGCGCCATCTGCATGGAGCTGCTTACGCCGCGCGGCTGGTCCAGCGCCTACACCGTAGAAGCCGTCATGCGCCAGTTCGCCGCCAGCCTGGTCAAGGGCCAGGTAAGGCCGCGCACCGCCGGGGGCGCAGCAGTCAACAGAGGCGCACCTGGAGTGGGGGACCAGGCACTGCCGAGCACAGTGCCCCCGAGGTCTCCGTGCCCGTCAGCCGCTTGGGATGCAGGGCGCGGGCCCGAGGGACAGCCGAGCGCACTGGCCGGCAGGGTCTCAGGGTCTCCTGGGTCTCCCTCCTGTCTGGGTCAAAACGCACTCTTGGCTCTGAGAATTCCCAATACTCCTTTAGCACAGAGTTGGGTCTCTTGCCCCGCGCCTGTTCCGGACGCTGCCTTCTTTCCTAGTCCTTCAGCCCTTGTGCCTGGGTCGCGTCTCAGAAATTCTCTCTCTTCTTCACTCTCTCCTTCCCCTTTTCTTCCTCTCCCCTGCCTCACCTCTATTCTTTCTCCTCTCATTCCTTCCCTGACTGACTTGACCCCATCTCCAAACTCAAACCTCACCCTCCTACCTATCAACCCCAGCCCTCTGCCCCTTGCTCCCTACTCGGATTTTCTCCCTGTCTCCCACCCGATTAATTTCCATGAAGGTGAGAACTTTCAGTGTAACTGGGGCTCTGTCACCCCTGCGCACGCACACACACACACGCACACGCGCGCACACACACACACACACACACACACACACACACACACACGCCTGCAGGTTTCTCCCAGTAGCATGCTTTGTAGAAGGCTAGACACTGGGCTAAGGGGATCCTCTCCCTGTTTCACCTTCCTGAGCAGAATCTAGTGCAGAGGTGACCGTTTTGCTCAGGAGATCCCTCTATGGAAACAGAAGTGTGACAAGACCAAACTGACAGAAATCCCAGTTCTTTCGGACAGAGCCTCACCCTTCCGGCTTTTGCTTGGTCCAGGACCTCACCTTCAAGGTCTTGGTCTGTTTCATGCCTTGTTTATTCCTGTTGTACCCTCCTGCCCCCAGGTCTGACATTTTCAATTTGTATGTAATTTTATATTATAATTATATGTACACACTGCGGTTAAGTGGATGGCATCTCAGAGCAACCCTATAAGTCGAGCTCCTGCCTAAAGTTTCTGAGGCTGTAAGTCTTTACTGAAGCAGATGGCGTCATCTTGGTCCCAAGGAGTGGCTGGTGGGTTCGAAATGTCAACCTTTAGGTTAGCAGCCCAACTCGTAACCCACTGGACCACCAGGGATCCTGTATAATGATACACACACCTAATTTTACTTTGACTTTAAATGTAACGAAGGGGTGAGCTGTGACCCGGAGTGTTTTCACCGAGGGCACCAAGAGATAGCTTTTCCTAAAGAAGCCCCTGAGAGTGGGAGGGCGGTGAGGTCCATTCCCACGTGACTTCAGGCCAGGGTATAATGGTCTTTTTCCCAATGTTGAATACTGTTGACCAGGTGCCAGTCAGTATGCTTCCCGGAATCAATACTAAACACTCCATCATCTGGTTGGGGCTTTATGGGGACACCTTTCAGCTCTACAAAGGACTGGTGCTTTGTTAGCACACCCTGGGTGAATCTTTTGAGCTTTCCTCAGCTGGGTCTTGTTCCCTGTCCCTGCCTCTGTCATAACGCTTGGTCTGCCCACATCAGTAGCAGGGGAGGGCCTGAATGCAAACAAACAGCATCAGACTTGGAACCAGAAGGGCACTTAGCTTGTGATCCACAGGGGGCCCTCGTAAGCTCCTGCCATGCCATCTATGCAAGGGTGGAGGTTCCGCATCTCTCTTGAATTGGGCAGAGGAAGGATGTAACCTCTCTAGGAAGCCTTCTTTAACTGGGACACAGTCAAAGGTTCATTTCTGACGCTACGGTGTATCGTGGGCTCTGATACAAGGAGAGTACGATTCAGTACAAACCACGAGGGGTTGGGAGGAGGTGTCGCCATTGATTTTTCCAACAGGATTGATAACAATTGTGCTGAAGAATACCCCACTAAAGTGACTGTGTTTTTGTTCTACGAGGAACCCTACTAACATAGTGGGTTAAGCGTTGCACTGCTAACCGCAAGGTCAGCAGTTTGAACCCACCAGTCACAGAACTCTGGCGGGGAAAGATGAGGTGGTCTGTTCCCATCAAAAGATTTACAGCTTTGGAACCCTGTGGAGCAGACCTACTCCGTCTTCCAGGGTCGCTGGGAGTTGGTGGTCCTGACAGATCAGAAATCTCTGGAAGCTTTGATTACTTTCTTTTGTTCTTTCTTTACAATGGAAATGACTTGGGGATGCAGAGGAAGAAAGATGTCATATAGAGTCAAGGCATCTTGACATGGTAGACTTGGGAGGGATCCTGAAAGCCGCCTGGAGCTCAGTTTTCCTTTTGAAAGGTGCAGCAAGATTAAGATTTGCAATGAGAGAGGAATGAGTTTAGGGTGGTTGTTTTTATAAAGACATTATTTCTTAGTAACTTAAATGATTTTCACATCAGTACTAATACTATCAATAGTTCTTAAATTGGGGCCCAGATACGTCTATAGTCATCTCTATGAGATCAAATGGACAACAGTGATGTTTAAACCAAGATGAAACTATAAGGGGACAGGGAAACTAGATTAATAGAAATGGAGCAACCAGAACAGAGGCACAGTAAATCCTCAGGTTACCAAGTTCCAACTTAAGGCCAACTTCTCCTTGCCCTTTGATGTGATAGGAATTTGCCCTCACTTCGAACCGATGGGACCAACCCCTACTCCAACACAGTTATCACTATAATCCCTGTCACTTTTGCACATGCACCTTTTCTATCATTGAAAAGGCTCCCAGCCTTGTCTTGCACTACGTAAGGCTCAGTAAGAATTGTATGCACCTGGTCCAACCTGCCTACAAATTCCACTTAGAGACTTACTGAGGAAGTGATCTGGCTTGTTCCCCCAGAACTGCTTATAACGAGAATGTTGGCCCTTCTTGTGGTACATAACCAGTGGCCCCGGACAATTTCCATAGAAACTATGGAATGAGGACCTAAACTGCTGTGTAAGCCTTCACCCCAAAACACAACGAAACATTATTTTTTAAAAAGACAGGGCCTTAAGTATGTGTCCTTTTTCTCTGTCATCAAAATTAAGAGGGTTACATATAGTTTATCCAAGTTATTGGCTTCTTATTGAAGACAGCTATCTGCATGATTATTCATTTGATTAAATTTTAATTGAATGCAATGCCCCTCACATCGCCCATTTTGTTATTCTCATTCCTATTGTATAAAATTTCTGAACAAAGGTGAAGACTCAGCAAATTGTTGAACACAAATTCAACTTCTTTGCATGTTCCATGTTGCTATCAACACACACCTCTTCAAAAGAGTCTAATGTACAGTTGTTGTTGTTATTGTTGCTAGGTGATGTTGTCAGTTCTGACTCATAGTGACCTTATGTCCAACAGAACAGAACACTCTCCAGTCCCTTGCCAGACTCACAATTGTTAAGTTAGAGCCCAGTGCGTTGCCAGACACAATGGTTACGTTCCTGCCTCCGCCACTGTGCCAATCCATCACGTTGAGGGTCTTCATCTTTTTTTT